GTTCACAATTACTGCATTTAACGACTAAGTTGAATCCAAGTCCACGGATACTACTTTCCGAAAAAGTCACATTTCCACCGCACGTTTTGCACATGATCATTTCACTCAGCGTTTGAAACAAGAATAAAAATTCAATCAAACGGTATCCATAGCCATTATTAATTTCCACTTCCACCGATTTCGTTCTTAATTTTTTCGCGGAAGGACTTGTCGATTCCGTTTCATTCTCCATCGTATGGTGGCGGCGGTCTTTTCCTACGTCGTGAAGGTCGTCCGGGAGTTTCGCGTGAACCCTTTCGGTCGAAAGAAGCAGGCTTCATTTTGATAAAAGTATAAAAACTATACGTTAGCCACGCGGGAAACACCGAAACGATCACAGCTTTTCGACACACTGGCCCTTAAAATTACGCAGTACCGGCGTCCTTACTTTTGAAATCGCTTCTAACTGACTATAAAATATATCTAGTGACATCTGTTAATCGACTTGGAGTATTAGAAATGTTAGAAATTGAATTGCAAGTCACTACGCTGTACCCGCCGAACAGATAGGAATTTGCCGCAGGTATGCGTTTCGGAGCGCTTCGGTAAAAGGTCGAAATTTCAATGAAGAAAAATTTAGCCGGCTATTACACCTAATGTAACTTATTTTAGAGGGTTCAAAGTATTTTTTAAGCCAATAAAAAAAAAATTGAATTTTTGAAAATTTTACAGTAGACTTCTCCCTTAAAGGTGAAATATAATAGGTGGTTTTATATGAAGCCGCTCGTTGACAATAGATTGCGTTAAGTAAACAATTTCTTCGAATTGAAAGTTGGCAATACACATGATGACAGGTCTATAGAGTCCCTCCAGACACCATAAGTGGCATTTGTGCGACGCGTTAACATAATCTATTTTTATTATATTTACAGTGTCAAGTTTTATTCCAAATAAGTCATATTTGTGGGAAGTTATGCTCTATTATTTCTTGACAAAGAAATCGCCCGCGACAATGCATCATTTGCTAGAGAAATTATTTGCCGAACATGCTTCATCGAATACAACATGCAAAGAGTGGTTTTGCCGCTTCCAAAATAGTGATTTCTTTATGGACAATGAAGACCGCGGAAAACCATCCAAAAATTTGAGGACACGGAATTGGACGCATTATTAGACGAAGACTCGAGTCAAGCGCTGATGGAGTTGGCCGAAGCCTTAATTGTGGACAAATTAACAGTTTCCAGACGACTACAGATGTTGGGATGTGTGACAAACAAGGAAATTGGATACCCCAATTATACATTGAAGTAAAGGGACATTGAACGCCGGAAAACCACTTTGAACTGCTGCTTGAACGACAACAACGAAAGGGTTTTCTCCATCGAATCATGACTAAATATGAGACATGGATCTATTTCGACAATCCGAGGCGAAAAGTAACATGGGTACGTCCCAGGAACCAGGCCCGTCGACGCCAAAGAGAAATATTCATGCCAGTAAGGTCATGCTCTGTATCTGGGATCAGAGAGGTGTCGTGAATCGAGCTCCTGAAACCGTCGGAAACCATCACTGAGGATCGTTATCGACTGCAACTAATCCGTTTGAAGCGAGTTCCGCACGAGAAGAGGCAGAAATGTGAGAATTGCCGCGACAAGTTGATTTTGCTGCACGACAACGCCAGGCTGCATGTTGCTCAACCAGTCAAGTACTTAAAAGGAATGAACTGGGAAATCCCAACCGACATATTCCTCCCTCCGATATCGCTCCCTCTGATTACTATTTGGTTTGGTCGATATACTCAGCACTTACGGCACAGCACTTCACCTCGTACGATGGAGTCAAAAAAATGGCTGGATGACTAGATTGCCTCCAAAGAACCCGAATTTTCCCTGCATGGAATCTGATGGTTGGCCGAAAGATAGGTCAAAGTTATTCTTTCGTTCAAAAATGGGCGGTTTCATATGCAACCATCAAATAAATAAAATAGAAAATCTCTTTTAAAGACTTCATTCTACAAATATTGAAATGTGTAAAATGATTTTTTAAATTTTTTATCAAAAATGGCGAGCCTACAGCTCCTCATGCGCAATCACTTTTTTTAGGTCCTTCACGGCTAACAGCAGATCTCTTAAATGGTTGCACCTAGAACCACTCAAAAAACCAAAACTAGAACGCACCAAAACTAGAACGCACAAAAAACCAAAATTTTCAGAAACTAGATAAGATTTTCTTTGGAAGCACGTAGAGAAATAAAAAAAAAATATGACGATTTGTTAAAATGGTGGAGCTATAAAGAATTTTATATTTTGGTTAAAAATTTTGCATAAATTTATTTATTAGAAAATAGTTTTGAAGTAATCGTAAAATCCCTATATACTTTTCTAGAGAATCTATTTAAGAAGATGCCCTTAAAATTTCAAGTCAATTGGATGAAAATTGTTTGAGTTATGCTACTTGCCTTTGAAAAACATGAATTCAAGAAAAGCGCATTCAAAGTTTTCGGTAACATTTTTTTCTGTTTAACACGACAAATTTTCAATGTACCTTCAATCTGCATTGTCTGCTCCATACAACTGCCTTTCCAGGTCCAAATTAGCCTCCTATTCTTTTTTCTTTGAAGATTTAAAAACCCTCCGATCATTTTATGCGGCATCAAACATCTTGCGCTTTGCAAATTTGATGCGGCGCGCATCAGCTTCTATGTAAAAGTTATAATAATTTGTGCCCACTTCATCTCCTAATACTTACATTATTTCCATTAGACCATTAAATCGGTCATTAAAATAGCATGTGACAATATCTGCGGAGATATCAGGTAATGTATTGCTGTTCGAGAATGCTTTTGGAGCCATGCTCCACACACAATTATTATAATTTTCGCTATTGTTTGATGTATACCCTCCAAAGCAACGATTTAGCAAATTATCGCTACATATGTCTTCATAAACAGGTTTAATAGCTATAAAAACGTCTATGCGAAGAGGTGGTTCATGTACGTATATTCATGCAAAGTATTGGCAGCTTCCGCCCGTTGCCACGAGCACTACGATTGCTCGTCTTTCAGGCACTTCTCGTGCTGCGACTGCAGCGATCAGTTGAAAGTTTATGAGATAACTTCGCCCATATATCGTTTCTCATCTTCTCGATAGAGCCGTGTTTGCGACGAATAAGTAAACTGTAGTTAATTGATAATTCATCAATCAATTTAACTGGTAAGTTTACCCTTACCGTTCTTCATATTTTTTTTTATTTCACAAGCGCGTCCCTATCCTGATCTATGCACTCTTTCTTTTTTACTGTAAAATTTTCGTAGGGATCAGCTTTTAATACTCCTTTGAAGGTCTTGCTGTCACCATCGCCGATATAATTAGCGTATTTAATATTGTAAAGGGTTTTGGAGCGCTGAAACATCTCGATCATGACATCAATGTCTATCTTACCACATGAGCCGTTATGATTGACTTGACATTCATTTGAATTGCGTCTCCGCCCACTCTTCGTATTAAGCTATATCTTCTTCCTTACTCCAAAATTCACAGGATTTATAGTATACTTAGATTTCACTACGATGTCAATGACTTTTCCTGTATACCAATCGATTAGAGTCATTAATCTGTACAAAGACAAAAATCCTTTTTACCGCCATGATCCGTTGCCAAAAATAATAAAAACATTGACCTGCCTATTTTCTAAAGAAAATCTCTTTATTTTTAGCTTCTCTTTTTTCAAACGAACTGCTGTTGTAACTGTAGCGAGGTTTGCAACGATTCTATCATAAAATGATTGAAAAACTGGTCGCTGAAATTCCATAAACGCACAAAATTTAAATATACCATGAAAACCTACACTCAATAAATGCATTGCAAATACTATGCGACGGTTAACTTCGTATCCATAATTAACATAAGCGACTAGATAACTAAGCACAGCAGATTGCCCAGAACTTTGCAAGATACAATAATTCTGAAACCCAAGCCAAGCTTACTCAATAAATTTTACGTCTTTCTCGCACTTTAAATATACAACCACTTCAGCAATAGGAACAAAAACAATGAGAAAGTTTATCAAACGATACCGATACGATCCATTATTCACTTCATAGTTGTTCCTGGATGTGTTGAGTTTTTGAGCAGACGTGCTCACGTTCTTGAGACCTTCTTCCTTTTCGTATCGATTCTGCGGATGTCTATTTAATATTTTAATCCTTTTTGTAGTTATAGTATTAAACTTAGTACTTTTCTTTCCAGCATACACCTTTCTCTTTTCACTCATGATCATTAAAAGTTTCGAAATAAGAAACTGAAGCAAAATATTCACGAGTATTCTAAACAGAAAATAAAACGTCTTATTGCATCCAAGCGGCGTGATTTCGAAGGTTGCACTGAAGCCACGCTACTATTTTTTAAATAATATAGACTACTAGCACCGTACTAATACATAATAGTACTAAATACTCGTAGAAAGTACCTGTGGAGTACTTGATTGACTGGCGTGACGCGCCGAAACTGCTGACTGCTTAGTCGGCACAGTAACGCGCTGCACAAAAGATGTTCAAAACCGGCTTTAAAAATTGTTCTCCATTATAAGTCCTATTGCTTCTTATTTTTAAGACCCTAATATGTCATTTAAGCAAAAAAAATGTCTATTTCCAGAAATTTCTAAAGCGGTTTTACCCTTTTAACTTGGTCAACTTGGTCATTTCGAGGTTATGAATGTCTATATGTCTGGTTTACCTTTGCGACAAGTGACATCTTCAGCTGAATCCACATATAGCGGAAATTTTTAATTCAATTTTGTCCGAATTTTAACGGCATATCTTGTAAGCAATTTTCTTTAATACAGAGTTTAGCTTCCCGTGCGCTCATTAACTCAGACAAAATAATTAACTCCTCGCTAACTTACGAATTTGGCAAAATAGTAAATGACTTTTCTGCTCAGTTTCATTGTAAAATGTATGATGTATAATATACACGTCTGCGCGCCTGCCAAAAAGTTAAGCTGTTGAAAACTTTTTAAGAAAGTCACTTTCATTAAGATTGTTAAATCGCTCACGTGCTAATTCATGATGTTAATGAAGTGCCGAGTTAATTTTTTACCTTCTAGCTTTTTATGTGTCGCGTATGTAATTTTCGTTTCACAAAGTTAAACAAAAGGGTGAACGATAAAGTGTCAAAAAAGACAAAATCATCGGAAAGTGATCAAGGGCCGAGACAATGATTGCAAGACCTAAGCGCGAATGTTCAGAAATATTTGGCGATTTTGCAACGTAAGTAGCTTCAAGATCGGCTTACACAAGTGCAATGGCCATAGAGCGCTTTTATGCGGCTTCACGTGTATTTTATTGCAGCGTAAGGCGGTTTAACGTATATCGTATTTCTATTTTTCATAACGAATCATGGCTCTCCGGTCGATAAATGGAAGCGATAGCATGAGAATCTTTCGCGTGATCGCGGTCGCGTGCTCTTTTGATGCGTATTTGTAGCAATTATGAATGATCTGCAATTCAATCAGCCAAACGAATATTCGGCCAGCCTGGCCTGTGCAAAACTATGTATATATTATGATTTGTTAGCCGCCATCGGCATAGGTAATTTAATTCATTTTGCTAATTCGACTAACCGAGCTTCGTGTTCGTTAAGTCGGCTAAAAATTGGGACAGCCTTCTATTATTAGTTCTTAACTTCGGTCGCGTGCGCGAGTATACGAGGGTGGGGTGAAACGTTTCAGGCCTGAAATAGAGATGGCGCCAGCAGGTCTAATTTTTGGCTTGTATTCTATAGTACTATATCTTAATAGATTGTATATAAATTTTCAAATAGATTGCTCTGTTTGTGTACATTTGAGAGCCGATTGAATAAGACGCCTCGATTGCTTACGTGAAAATGGAAAAATCAGAGAAACGTGCGGTCATCAAATACTTCTATTTAAAAGGCCTAACACCATTACAAATTAAAGAAGAGCTGGATTCCACACTGAAAGACTCTTCTCTATCATATTCAACGGTTAAACAGTGGGTTTCTGAATTTAAGAAAGGTCGCACGAGCACTTCTGACGATCCACGTTCAGGATGCCCCGTTGAGGTCATAACTCCCGAAATGATTGAAAAAATTCATAAAATAGTGATGGAGGACCGCAGATTAAAAGTAAGTAAGATAGCTGAGGCTACTAGAATGTCAACTGAACGTGTGCGCAATATTTTACATGAACATTTGAGCATAAGGAAGCTCTGTGCTAGGTGGGTGCCGCGTTTGCTAACGTTCGATCAAAAATTCACCCAGAAAACTGTTTCAAATTTGGCGCTGTACAAGCGAAACCCCAGCGAATTTTTGCGTCGATTTATAACTGTGGATGAAACTTGGATTCACCACTACACTCCTGAAACTAAACAACAGTCGAAACAATGGATTGGATCATGTGAACCAACCCCAAAGAAGGCAAAAACAATTTTATAGGCGAATAAGGTTATGGCGACTGTTTTTTGGGATGCGAAAGGAATTATTTTCATTGATTACCTGGAGAAGGGTAAAACCATCACTGGTCAATACTACGCAGAGTTATTGCAGCGTTTGAAGGACAAAATGAAAAATAAACGACCTCACTTGGCAAAGAAAAAAATCTTGTTTCACCATGACAATGCACCTGCCCATTCGTCGGTCGTTGCGATGGTTAAAATCAAGGAATTGAAGTTCGAATTGTTCCCCCAACCAGCATATTCACCAGATTTAGCCCCCAGCGACTATCACTTGTTTCTTAACCTTAAAAAATGGCTCGGAGGTAAAAAATTTGAGACCAACTAGGAAGTCATCGATGCTGTAAATGAGTATTTTGAGGGACTTGACATATCGGACTATAAAAATGGTATCATTGCATTAGAGCACCGTTATGAAAAATGTATAAATCTTGATGGAAATTTTGTTGAAAAATAAAACGAAAAAAAAAACAAAAAAAGTTGTTTATCTTTATCAGGCCGGAAACTTTTCACCCCACCCTCGTATATATGTGTATGTGTATGTGTGTTCATATCTCCAGATAAATCAATGTAATGACTGAGGATGCCGTGAACAGAAAATGCATCGTTGCGGTTAATGTGGGCCGACTGAAAATTTAAATTTAATACCAGACAGATACGTATCTGTTTTTTACAATTTTCTGTTCACGATCATAACAAGCTTTGCTAACTACAAGAACAGTGAATAGTGAATCGATTATTATTTTTATACTGTTAGTAGTAAATTTATTAATAGTAAACTGTAACTGATTTCGTAAAATGTTAAAGCTATAATTTCTAAATAATTCCTAAATAATTTAGTTTTAACATTATTTATTTATTTATTTTTAAAACATCGAGATCATTGGAAATAATTCGAGGGCAAATCAAATATAATACGGGGATTTATTTTTCATGATTTATTAGACAAGAGTAAAAATATAATGAAACCAAATTATTTTTCTACATAGTTCCCTGCTACATTAATACGTTTTTGCCAGCGGACAGGGAGCTTGGCTCATTTTCATATTGAGTGAGTGCAAAAGTTCGTGCGGAGGTGCAATAGATGGCGTTAGAAGCGGCGTAAAGTTTTGTCATTAATACCGCCATCTCTGTAAGACATATCGTTGGAAAGGCGACGTGTGCAGCGTTCATTTCAAACAAAAGAATTTGTGTAGATACGAACTGCTTCGAGAAAGATTACTTTCAAAATGAGTGTCGAAAAGGTGCATTTACGGCATGTTATGCTTTACGAGTTTCGGAAAGGAATAAACGTTGCAGCAGCCGTAAAAAACATTCAAGAGGTTTATCAAGATCAAGCACCAGCTAAACGAACTGTGGAAAAATGGTTTGCAAAATTTCGCCGCCGACAGTTTAACCTTGAAGACGAGCCACGCTCAGGTCGACCTTCAGACATTGATGACGATGTTGTGCGAACTTTAGTTCAGAATACTCCGCGAATTTCAACAGAGGAAGTTGCTACAGCACTTAACGTTGACCAATCAACCGCTTTTCGGCGTTTAAAAAAATCGGTTTCGATTTGAAGCTCGATGTATGAGTGCCCCATTTGATGACGGAGAGGAACAAAATCAAACGAGTTTCTGCTGCCGTTTTTTTACTCGGGCGTCTAAAAAACGAACCGTTTTTGGATCGATTAGTGACGGGCAATGAGAAATGGGTCCTGTACAACAATGTTCAGCGCAAACGCACATGGAAACAGGCAGGTGAGCATGGTGAAGCAATGGCAAAGGCCGGTTTACACCCGATGAAGGTGATGCTCTGTGTTTGGTGGGATTGCAAGGGCATAATTTATTTTGAGTTTCTCCCCGCTGGTCAAACGATTGATTCGGACAAGTACTGTCGCCAATTAACCAATCTGAATCGAGAAATCAAACAGAAACGTCCGATTTTGTCAAATCGCAAGGGCGTAGTCTTTCACCACGACAACGCAAGACCACACGTTTCGAGACAGACGCTGCGCAAACTGAACAGCCTGCAATGGGATGTCCTAACTCATCCACCGTATTCTCCTGATATCGCACCTTCTGATTATCACTTGTTCCGGTCATTGCAAAATCATTTAAATGGAAAAAAATTGACTCTTTGGATGCCTTAAAAAACGTTGTGTCTTCGTTCTTCGAATCTAAACCGCGCAGTTTTTATGATCGGGGCATCCGTATGCTGCCAGAACGTTGGAAAAAGATTATAGACAACGATGGAGAATATATCATTGATTGAATAAAGAACTTTGTTTGCCTAATCACTGTCTGACTTTTACTCACAAACTCCGCACGAACTTTTGCACTCACCCAATAAAAGTAGTACGTTGTACAAGGGTGGTCCTTGAAGTACCCGACCCAACAAAGAAAACACAAAAATTTTGGAAAAAATGTATTTATTTTTCAACATAATCTCCTTTCAGCTCTATACACTTTTCCCAACGATGTTCAATAAGTTCGATACCCTTTTTATAATAAGAACTGTCTTGCTCCTCAAAATAGACATTAACTGCCGACATCACTTCTTCATCGTTGGAAAATCTTTGACCTCTGAGCCATTTTTTTAAGTTTGTGAACAGAAAATAATCCGAGGGAGCTAAATCTGGCGAATAGACTTCGCTAAACACTCAATTGAAACATCTTCACGACNCAAATTTTCAGATAATATGCGATGTACCGCACTTTTTGAAATGCCTACTATGTCTGCTAGCTCGCGCACTTTCAGTCGACGATCATCCAGTACCGCTTTGTGGATTTTCTTCACCATTTCTGGAGTCGTCACCTTATTTGATCGACCACTGCGATGCTCGTCTTGGCAGCTCGTACTGCCTCGTTTAAACTCTGCTACCCAATATTTTATTGTTGTAAACGAAGAAGCAGACTCACCCAGAGTAGAATCCAGTTCAGCTTTTATAGTGGTTGGGCTGAGGCTTTTCAAATAAAAGTATTGTATCACATAACGATGACCAATTTTCTCCATTTTCACAAATTCACTGAAAACGTTCACTATTGATGGCTGCCAAGCAAATACTAAACAACATGGCGTTTTCAAACTTAAAACATATGCTTTATAGATTGTGTACTTTCTAATACAGTGATATTTTTCAAACAACTACCGCCATTTTTAGGTCAGGTCGGGTACTTCAGGGATCACCCTGAAGTACTCGTATCTGTGGCTAATTGCACACGAACTCTTCTGCACCCGCATTAACTTCGAAACGTTGCCCTCCCAATATTTCTTTCAGCGGTCCGAACAAATGATTATCACATGGAGACAAATCTGGACTATATATGAGATGTTTAAGTGTGGTCCAGAAAATTTATTTTACTTTATTACGAGTTACGGCAGCTGTATGAGGTCTGGCGTAGTCATGAACCAGTAGAATGCTTCGAATCGGTACACCACGTCTTTTGGTTTGATAAATAACTTTAGTGCTTTTTAGAAGTTGACAGTAATACGTTGGATTCACTGTTTTTCTTTCTTGAAGAAAATCGATCAAAACAACGCTTCTGAAATTCTAAAACGCGGTAGCAAGAACTTTTCTCGCTGACAAACGTGTTTTGGCTTTGACTGGCATAGCCTCTTCTTTTCCCCGCCACTATATACTGGCCTGTTTCGATTCCGGAGTGTAATAGTGGACCTAAATTTCATTACAGGTAAAAATACGGTGCAATAAACCGTTCCTTTCTGCCTCTTAACGAGCCAGAAGCCGTTGTGCAATGGACAGGTGCACCTCTTGCTCACTCATCTTGCTACCGACTGACGAGCGCAGTCGGCAAGTGCAGGGGATCGACTCTAGACATTCCCCTTTTCATGCCCCTAAGCCATACCGCATTGTACCGTACTTCCCTGGCAGTAAAAAATTCGCGTTTATATTTTATTTATCCTCGTAGATTGAGTTATATCACTATTAATTTAAAACAATAAATAGTAGTATGTAAACACGAGCGTGGCATAGCAGATAGCGCACTGATTTGCTACACTAGAAATCCCGGGTTCGCCTCCCAGTAGAAATATTTTCATACGCTGTGTACCTTCTCCGATGGATAAACCACCGAGAGTATCTTTGCCACAAAAACCTTCTCTCCAACAATTTGCTTTTTAGAATCGGCGTTAAATTGTAAGTCCTATATATTTGTGTATAATCTGCGTGTGCAGCAAAGGATATGCGAGAGAGAGATGAAGCCCTACAAAGGGTAGTAACGCCAAAGAGAAAAAGAAAATTGTAATAAATCTTATTGACATTATTTTTGAAGTGGTTTCATTGATATTAATTGCGGCATCTGTTTGTTTATCGTTTACATGTGAATATAATATATATTAGATCGCAACGCGCATACAAGCGGCGTGGGATAAATCGATTTATCCTTACATTATTAGTGACAAGTAATACATAATTTTATGCACATGCTAAAACTACCTCTTTGAGGTGAATGCCAACGGAGAATTGTTTGTTCCTGTAATTTTTCTTAGTCATGTGTTACTTCATTCACTCTCTTTGAGAGAGAGAGAGAGAGAGAGAGAGAGAGAGAGAGAGAGAGAGAAAAGTAAAGAAATTTATATAATTAGGAACTCCTATTAAAAAAAAAATTTATCTAGTAATTACGAACCTGTGGTACGGAAACTCTGAGATAAGAAAACTGTCTAGAGTTAAGAAGTATTCTCGACAGGAGTAAATACTCTCAACGAAAGGGAATAAATTTTTCATTTTATTTTGTATTACTTTTATTATCTAATCTCTGTTTATACCAGACTAGATAACAACGAATTATTTTTTTTTATATAGCTGCTAACTAATTTTGTCTAACATAGCTATTAAGAGAAGTAAGCGTTACATTCCTGGCTAGCAGCTAGCTAATATTATTAAATAGTAGGGATGTAAAACACAACTTTTTTATGTCATGATTAGACAGTCAGTAGATTCAATTTTTGCTCGGATAAATTATCGCTGTATATTCATTGCCACTATAAAAATATTCATAGCCACTATAATAGTCGCTCGCAAAATTTCTATGTAAGAACTGTTGTTAATGACAAAAGCAAATATGAAAGAAAATTTTTATCTGAAAATCAAACTTCTCGCGAAATCTGTTTGCCGTAAAATACATGTTAGCGTCTTGTTCTCTCGTACAGTGGTAGCTTAATAGTAGCTAACTTCGCCGTCGTGAAAAGGTTAACACTTTGCGGTCCGTCGACGGCATGGTGCCGTCGCGCTCATTTCGACATTGCGGTCTGTCGACGGCACTGTGCCGTCGCGATCTGACAACATTGGTTTTATCGAAAAATCGCAACAAATGCGGTTTTAAACAACTGGCAACTGGCAGCTGAGAAAAAGTAAAAAATGTTATCTAACACAGATTTTCCTTCAAATAAAGAAATTTAAGATGTAGAAGATAAATACGACTCTTACAATCAATCATTGGTTTATTATTTATCAATCATACACGTGTTCTCTAATTGTATTTGTTTATTTATCTACTATTTGGTTTTGTATTATGCCGTATTTTATATTATTTCGTTTCATATTATATGGTCATAGATGATATATCACCGATATTTCGTCGACGTGTCTTGAGACGAATTTCGTCAGAATCATCAGACGATGAGAACATTAATTTATATCCGCGGAGAAAAAACAATGTTTGCAAACACATGTAAACGAGAAGAGAAGTATGTTTTCTATTCTTTTATTAATCCTTTTGATATAATTTATGCGCTTAAAAAGGCGATTATATTTATGTTTCACTTTTTTCCAGCTCAAAATAGACCATGATATTGATGGTCTCAGAAAGTAAAGCTCTCACAGAAAAGTTAACTTTTATGGTGTTTAATAACAGAGAAAAGAATGAACTTTACGATAAAATTTGTTTGAATACGCTAGGTTCAATAGTTTTTTAGATATCAACATTTGTATAAGAAGAAAATCAATCAAATAAGCGCAGCTACTTGCGTATTATACCTTCGAGAAGTTCGAACACATTACTCAAGCGTCTTCTGGTGGGCCGCGGACCGCAAGTGTTGAAGTATTATTACTAGATTGTAGCTTATTTCAATGATATTACTTTTCAAATTACAGCAAAATTGCTTACAAGCAAATGATGTACCTCGAAATGATCAGTCACAGGACAATTGCAAGTTCCTCGTATATTGTATACAAATAGTGCAATCTATGTGAATCAATTTTCACTTATATTATTAGTATTAAATAACACGTAATTTCGCAATATTATGAAATTGTAATTTTTCAAACACATAGTTTAAAAATTATTTATGGAAATCGAGGACGCTAAAAATAATAATTTGAATTCCATTACAGTTAATTTAAAATAATACGTAGTAACCAAGACAACAAAAATGTCCCAAATCGGGAAATAAGACATCTTTTGGACATTGTTAAATAATTTTTAAGATAATATTTGTCATCTTTAAGTCGTTCTTAAGACATCTCAAAGACGTCTAATGTCCCGATTTTGGACACCGTCATCATCTTCATCATCAGCCTTGTTTCGTCCACTTCTGGACATAGCTTTTTCCAATTTTTACTTGGAAAGAATTTTGGCGTTTAAAACGCCGCGCTTGCCATTACGTGTTGGAAATTATATTGGAAAGTATATTTCTTAAAACGTGAGGTTTCACACAGTAGTCACCGACTGTGCGTGGACCAACAGTTAACGATTCTTGCAAAAGACGAAGCCCAGTTTTCCAATATATTAGTCCCCACTCTTTTTACTCAATATATGGAGAGCACAGCTCAAAATAAAATTCCGGTGATCTGGTGGACTTGAACGAGGGTTCTCCGCGCTACAAGTCTGGCGCTCTACTACCAGAACACACTGCCGCTCCAATTTGGACATTGTGATGTCTGGAAAATTTCAACTTGTTTCACAGATATTGCTTTTCATTCTAAATTATAAAAAAATTGTTTGTGAGCGAATAATATACACTAGATTGTATGTATGCGTGTGTGGGTACGTGTGTATCAGTGTTGCCACATCCAGGGATTTACTTTTAAATCTAGGCTCTTAAGGAAATTCTGTAATACAGAAAGAGATTTGATAAAATTTTATTTTATATGGGTTGTAAACATGAATCTATTTTTTGCTGCAAATTAATGAAAAATGAACCTTAATTTTTCTAAAAAACAGACAAAGCAATTTGTTTCGTTTTCTTTCTACCTTACTATCGTTATGTGGAAGTGAAACGCATTATTACACATGTACTAATTCCCGTCTCTACCAACTTTGATTAACTGCTAGTTATTTCATGTTGATGATCAATTTTAAAACAAATTAGTTTTTTATCATTTAATATATGCATTATAATTATAGTGTACCTTTCTCTTTCTTGTTTTTTTCTTCTAATTATTATTATTGATAGTAGAAGTTTAACATTTATTATTGGGAGCGTGAATAAGTTCTCGCCGTTTCACCATCAGATGGCGGTATAAACATTTTCTGTGTATAATTCAAGATGATGACGCATCTATATTGAAGTTCTATAACCTATGTTTAAAATCAGTGGGTGTCTTTCCATTAACCTATAAAGAACATTTTCTTTTTGTAGCGTAAAACATGTCAAATTTCGTGCCAAATAAACCGTTTTTGCGGGGAATTTTACTGCACTATTTTATTCAGAAGAAATCTGCAGCTGAAGCACACAGAAATCTTGTAGAAACCTATGGTGATCATGCTCTGTCGGAAAGAACATGCAGAGATTGGTTTAACCGATTTAAAAATGGTGATTTTGATGTTCAAGATAGAGAACGCAGTGGTGCACCAAAAAAGTTTCAAGACGAAGAATTGGAAACATTACTTGCTGAAGATCCATGTCAGACGCAATCCGATGTTGCAAAATCATTAGGAGTTGATCGAACAACAGTTTCGAAACGTCTGACAGCATTAGGAATAATACAAAAGGAAGGATCTTGGGTGCCGTATGAACTGAAGCCGAGAGACGTCGAACGGCGTCTTGTCACGTGT